ACATCCTTCTAGTGTCAAACTCAGTCAAGACAATTGATGTATAAATCAAAGTGAATATTGAAGAGAAAGAGGCCTTTAGATGATGATAACATGACTTTTAGCCACATTGTTCTGGGAAGTGTGTCCTCACTGGGGGGACACAGCAGAATAGCAAACAGCTGGTTGAACATGCTAATGTAAATACTGACTTCAGCACTGTCCTGATGTACTGCTGTCTGGCTTCAAGATAAGACCAAATAACAGCAGATAAGCCTTTACACTGCCTGGCACTATAACACACACTATAAGAACTGCTCGTCTGATGGTCAAATAGCTTCAGGAATCCCCTTCCCCACACCCTTCTGACCTTTCTGGATTGGTAGGGCTGTGGTCAATCATTTCTGTAACAATCTGACATTCACTCACAGTCCCTCATCTCTGTATTTAAATATCGCTAACCCTAAACCACCATCCAGTGTAACCATTCAGAACATCTATAAGTGCAGTGAGGAAATTTCATTTATCTTTCCCTATCTTTAAGGGGGTTCATGTCACAAAATCACAAGATCATTTGAGAATTCATTTTACCACGATTCAAGCTTATGTGCTTGTGTCTAACCACAGTGGTTTGGACCAATCAGTGCCCTCTGAGGAACTACTGGCAGCTACAGAATGAGCTACGGCATGGTTTATTGATGTGTGTGTGCGAAGTGACGGTTTACTCAAAAACAACAATGGCAGCTGCTAAAGAGGTTAGCGTAGCTGCTGCTAGCATCAGTTCTATCAGAACTGTTTCTTCATTGAAAGAGCAAAGAACACCACTGAAGGCTTTTCTCCATGGAAAAGATGTTTTCTCTCTTCTCCTGACTTCAGTCAGTTTGACTAAGTAATATGGTTTATTGATCTGAATCAAGTTCACCCATGATAGATGGTGGACAGATGGATCATCCAATCACCTGTGAAGAACCAGAAGACGTACTGTAGCTCTGACCAGCAGAGCAGTGCTTGGACAACAGGAGTACAACACCATATGCCAAAAATGGCAAAATTGTTCAGGGCCCGACACTCGCAACAGCCTAGCTCTGTTGGCTTTTGCCAGTTTGTCTTTCTCTGTTGGTTTATCTTTGCTGGCCTGTCTGTGTTGGTCGTTCTGTCTCTGTTAGGGTATTCAACCTTTGTTGCCAGTACAGAACTTCCATTCCCTGCACTGCGCTCATTACTGGAATTTGGAAAACAGCCTGGAACTGGAGATGAATCTCAGATTAAAGTAAGCATATGGAAAAATTATCTAAATATTAATAAGGGATTCTTCACATTCTATACTCACATCAGCTGCTTCATGGAACGGCGTGCTCCCCTCATTCTTCCAGTAAGCTTTGGTGTCAAACTCAACACGATACACTCCTGCTGGGAACTGCTGCTCTGTGATCAGATCGTGGATCTCTCCAGTGGCGTCCGTCACTCTGCAGTGAGAAACAGTGACATCTGTCAGCAATAAACAGATGCATATAGCATATTTAAGGTTATATTTCATACTGTACGTACCCATTAGCGATATGTGTCCATCCCCCATCAGCAGCCTTCTGAGACACCTTGAGTGCGACTGATCCGGCTGGACTCCCCTTCACCGCATCCAGGATTTTTACCGTCAGAGGACACATTGTGTCGGTGCCCCCATGTTTCTCCTGCAGTACAGACACAAGATGGACTACGCCTCATCCTCTGTTGCTCATTGTAACAATATCCATCCTCACAGTAGCAGTATTGGAAAGCGTTGTTCTTCAAAATGACTTCAGGTCGTGCATTTAAAGGTCATGTGTGTAGGATTTAGTGGCATCTAGTGGTTTAGTTGCAGACTGCAACCCTCCCTTTCCAAGCGTGAGGGAGAAACTACGGTGGCCACAAACACACGGAAAATGTCAGTCTCAGAAAATATGTTCTGGGCATCAACATACTGTATATAAAGGTGGATGATGGCTCTCCAAAAGTGAAGTCAGAACATCTGGATCACCCCCTGGTGGTGCCTCCATGTTAACAGATGGGACATGGGCCAAACTAAAATGTCAAAATACACATCAAATAAACTTTTCCCAAAGAAGATTTCTGTCATTTTCAGGAGTTCTTATCATGCTGATGTATGTTCAAGTGTTATTTTTTTTTTGGTTTTAATTTGTTATTTGAAACTATAAAAAGGGGGTTACACAACATGATTGACAGCTGAGTAATTGAGTCGACCAGGCGTATGTGTGGGACTTCCATACCGCGGCGCCAACCCCAATCCCTAATGCACACAATCTGGTTCTGAATGACGTCACCACAGCAAGATGGCAGTGGCTGTATCTGGGATATTTTGGCTTTATTTTTGTATAGTGGGAGGAAGTGGAGACATGGCGTCCATCTTTTATATGTCTATAGTTCTGGGCTACTGTAGACAACATGGTGGTTCAACATAGCAGCTGCCACGGAAGGCGACCCACGGCATCCATAGATAAAAATGGCTCATTCTAAGTGAACAAAAACACAGCAATTCACATTTTCAAGTATCACATTGCTTATTCAGGTCAGAACGTTCAGTGAACACAATCTGTGCTGCCACTCATCCTACAGAGCTGTTATCTCTTGTGTTCACAGCACAGCAGAAGATGAGCAGAGCTGTATGTACATTATGAACCGTCACAGGCAGGTCACTGAACTGATTCCACCTCCAAAAAAATCGATTCTGACACTACCATGTGCTGCGTGTTTGTAGAAGGTTAGCTTCTAATAGTCAGTAATGGTGTTTTGGTGTTGTTAAAGTTGTATTTAAAAAAGTAAGTAGGACACAATGCTCACAGCAGGGCAGTCATCTGTTAACTGTGATGTGTTCAGGGACATCACATTTACCCAAACATTCAGCTCCTGCACAGTAATCTGAGGGAAGACTCTGGGTCCAATCGTATCTTTAAAACTGGGAGGTAGAGCTAAGCAATGTACCAGTGGGAAACACTGAAAAATACCCAAACTTTTAATGGAGCTCCCTTAGTTGAACATTATCATGTTATTATGGTCCAGCATTATATTCCTTACATTAAGATCAGTTCCTAATCATTGATGGTGTTGATTCATAAAGATACTGAGCATAAAAAACCTTGCTCATGCAGGTTCTAAGAAGCCCATTTGTAACTTATGCACCACTGATCTATAAATCTTAAATTAATTTAAAATTGATGGCACCTGCCTCAGTGATTTCCTCTCATTCAATGTCAGCACAAATGAGGGTTTAGTCAGGAACAGCCATGGACCAAGATACAAATGCGATAGACAGTGAATTAACAGTGTGAGTCAGTGTTCAATTTGGCGTATATGTGATTCACCAACCAGCACTTATTTTAGTGAGAAATCAGTTCATCTCTCATTCCCATGGTCTTCTTCCATAAAGTGCAGCTAACCAACAGAGGCTGGTGAGTTGATGAGACAAAATGTAAAGTTTGTATGGAACTACAGTTTATCTATATGGTTTATATTGATGCTGAATTAACAAGAAGACTGTTGACATGACACAATTTATCTTGTGTTCCTAGAGTTGTGTATTTTTATAGACGTGACCAATTATTAAAATGTCATATTTTTAGAGTTTGGTGTAATATTTACCCTGGAGAGCACAGTGAGCTTTTCAAACTGTATGATGCAGTTATCTGACATTGACTGCTGTTAGTTATTGGTTTGATAAATGGTTTAATAATGTGTTTATTGATCACTGCCGCTGGCTGATAATTATCAGCTAATCATACTTAACGGTAGTATGCAGTACTAGCAGGAGAATCACTTTCTAGAGAAATGTGTCTGGTGAATATCTGGTGAAAAATTCAGATTGTTTACATTAATTACATATTGTTGGAACACAATAACTAAATACAAACTAAATACAATATCTACAAATACATATTTACAATTATTTTGGAACATACACTCAAACTAACACATTATTGTACATAGAGCCACGCAGACACTGACCGTGGGGGTGGGGGCGGCGTTGCAGAGCAGCACAGCAGAGGTCAGAAGCAGACAGCGCAGTGGTTGAAGCATGGCGGGCTGATGGGTAGGCAGGCAGACAGAAGTCACTAGTGTTCACCACAGTCTCAGGCTTCTTATAACAGCAGCTGCCCCTCTCCCCCTTCTCCCCCTTCTCCCCCATCACTCGCTCCCTCACCAGCCCACCCTGCTGCCAGCCCTGTGGACCACGTCAGTACCTGGACAATGAATAACTACATCAGCTTTGGACTAAATCAGTACAGATGCTTCCTATATTCACAGCTATGATTATATTATGTTTTTGTTACCTTAGGATGAGCTGTTTTTATCTACAGAGGGAGCAGGTCCTCTTCTACAGTCAAGCTTGGGGAGTAATAGATTACAGTTACATTTAGTAAAAATGGGGATTATATAGCAGGATAATGATCAGTTTTTCTTTAAAATTATGCCAGTAAATCCTACGCACTGGTCCTTTAAGTCAAAAGTTCTGCATTCACTCTTTTAGTATTAGCAGTAAAAGTTCTGGTTTCATCTCTATGACTGATATGATTGTATGTGATGTTATTACATTTTTAATACTGACGCAGTCCAGTAGTCCGGTAGTTCCTGACATGAAAGGGCTGGCCCCTCCACAGGGTCCCCAGATAAATCAGAGGGATTGTCAGATAATTAATGGAAGAGGAAAGAAGAAAAAACAATATTGTGATAAACAAATTAGTTTTTACTTGTTGTGAAATATTTGATAAGTTATTCAAATGAAACCATGTAAGACGTTTAGAGGGAAACACCTGATATGTGAGGTAACAGGAAACAGGAAACAGGAAAAGGAAACATAACACTGGGTTTATTTACACCGATCAGCCATAGCATTGTGACCATCTGGGTACCATGGTGGTCAGAATGTTCGGCAGTCCCATATAACAAACTGCTCTGCACTGTCTGTTCTGACACCTTTCTATCAGAACCAGCATTAACTTTTTCAGCAATGTGAGCTAAAGTAGCTCGTCTGTTGGGTCCAGTCTTGGCTTCCCATGTGTATCCAATGAAGCTGGGCCCCCTCATTGACCCTGTCTCCGGTTCTTTTCCTTCCTTTGGAGCACTTTTGATAGGTACTGACCTCTGCAGACCGGGATTCACCCCATCAAAGAGCTGCAGGTTTTGTGTATATTCCTGTATTCTCCTCTTAATGTTTCGTCTAGCCATCACAATGTGTCTCTCCCTCTCTCTCATATATATATATCTCTCTTAAATAATTCTCCGCTGCTCTCTATCTCTCTGTAATATTATCTTCAACTTTTTGTAATTGTTTTCTAATATATAATAATAATGTTCTCGGCTATAAATATTCTCATCCACACAGGAGCGATAACCAGATAATCAGTTTTATTCACTTCTCTTCAGTCAGGTGCTCAAAAATGTTATGGCTGATTGGTAAGAGGTCACAAGTAAAAAGATTGGGAACCTCTGGTTTAATCTTTATAAAAATATATTTTGTAAACTTACTGTATATTTTTTAAGTGAAACTTTAATCTGAAAAATAAGTGACCATTAACTGTAGCTGTCAAATAAATGTAGTGGCGTAAAAAACAGCAATAAAAACCAAACAATTTTCCTCTACAATGTAATGGAGTAGACATATAACATAAACATAACATGAACTGGAGATACTTAAATAAATTCAAAACTGTATTAAGGTACGACGGAGTATTAGGGCCAGACTAAGAAAATTTTTTCTTAGTCATAATATTACGAGAATATAGTCGTAATAATACGAGAATAATATAATCGTTTTAATGAGGACCAACAGGCTGACAGTTCTCATAAAATTACTACTTTATTCTCGTAATATTATGACTTTATTATTGTAATATTACGACTTTATTCTCGTAGACTTAATATTACAACTTTATGCTCGTGATATTATGACTTTATTCTCATAATATTAGGACTTTATTCTCGTAATTTCCAAATAAAACAAATATTTTTTTCTCTTAGTATGGCCCTAATACTCGTACTTAGGTTACTTTCCACCACAGCTGTGTACTGTTGTCTAGTTGGAAATGATATGTGGAGTACTTTAATCAGTCCACTAGGTGGTGTAACAACCTCAGCAACTGTAAGTTGTGGCTCCTGTATTCCTTACATCACATGAACTTTGACCTTGGGGAGCATTTGTATAAGATAGGAAGAATCAATTTGTTGATTTAGTTTTTATTTGTTAAAAAAAGTTTGTTCTGGTTCTACACGTCCCATGATGCACTCAGACGTCACCTGCAAACATTACAGTAGGCCAGATAGAATGCCATGCAGCACTGTGCTAACTCAGGCTTTCATTCATTGAGCAGTGTGATCTGGGGCACAGGGTTGCTCACCTGGTAGAGTGCATCCCCATGTAGGATGAGTTCTTACTACAGCGGCCTGGGTTCGTTCTAAACCCCTTTGCACCCACCCCACCCCACTTTCCTGTCTAGCTTCACCTGTCCTATCAAAATAAAGAATGAAACTTGGCTTTCCTTTTGTGAAATTGTCATTCCTGTGACTAGTCATATCCAGCGTGAGTGATTTATTGGTGTGTACTTAAAGCCACGCTGTACAACAGGTTTAGGTGTACTCTTAGGTCATTTATCCAGATATGACCTTAAAGCTACAGTAGGTAATTTTTATAAAAACAGCTTTTTGTCATATTTGCTGAAAATGTCCCTACTACCCGCTACTGTCGGGATATAGTGAAAGTTTAATCAAATAATTATCATTAACACTAGCAGGGATAACAAGATCATTGGAACAACAAAAGTCACATAACAGCTTTAACAAATGGGGGTTGATGCCAGTGTATTTTTACTGCATCTATGCGAATGCACATGCAGGTGTTAGCGTGACACTGCAGTGTACACAATCACATCTCACAGCCTTTAGGGCAGAACAGATCAGATTCAAAGTGACGTGAGAACATGACGCCTCAAACTTTCTTAACAGCCAACTTAAACAAACACAAGAGGCAAAGAGGCACATCTGACGCTGTTCACAAAGTGACAATGACTCATTCCATGTTTTCTGTCTCCAGTGTTGCACGAAGAAGCAAAGTTCAGTGGGCTCAAACTGCTAATGCAGTGCTGCTCAAAAGCTTTCCCCAAACAAATGTGCTGTTACTACCCTCTTCCTGAGGTCGTCTGGGAGGCACCATATGGAAAACATCATATTGCAAACATCATATTGCAATTATCTTTGACAGATATTGCAATTGGTTCACTAACTTTTGCCCTCATCAAAGTTTACAACGTCTTTTTACTACATAATTGATATTCTCAAAAGTATATGGGATTCATAAACATACACCCATTATTTCATATAACAGATACTGTTTCAGAATACATAAAAATCATAGTAACACATTCAGAAGCTGCCCAGTACAACCACTAGGATCTGCTGGCCAGTGAGCAGGGATGTTTATATTAGAACCTTCTAATAACAAGAACTCTCTTTTGGTTTGGGACTATATTTCTGTTAGGGCATGAGAGACGCCAGAGAACACAACAATTCAGCAATGTTTTTATTTTCTACTTTTAACCACCTGGTCATATCAAAGTTTCTCATTGACAGATTTAAAACTATGTACCACAACCCATAAAGTTTTACTAACAAACAATTAAACCATTCAAAAACTGTTTCTCTGGTGTTTTTTTGCTGGATTTGCTTTCTACATTATTCCATTTATTGCTGTCTGTTCGTTCTGTTCTGTCTGGTCTGTCTGTCTGTCTGTCGTCTGTCTGTCTGTCTGTCTGCTGTTGTGTTTTCAACATTGATTTTTGCTCCCAGACTTGGACCAGATAAAAGTCACCACTATCAGTGAGTTATCTCATCACCGTGTGTCTGCTGCAGTCTATAATTTGCAAGCTTAAAGGTGGAGAAAGCGATTCTGGAGAAATCTAACACTATGATATAGTGCAAACGACTATGTACAAATGTATGTACAAAAATGTACAATATGTAAGTACAAATCTGACTATAATATAAATCTTAACTTATATTCTGAAAACACTGCAGTGTAAATAGTGTAGTAATTATATTTCCATGTTTATCTGATGATGGGGTTCAGGGAGAACTTTAATGTCAGGCTTGTATGTATGATACAATGGCTTTGGAAGGAAAACTAAAGAAAACATTTTAGTTTTTTGCATCATTGGCATGTAAACGAAAAAGCCCACTACTGACTGTACACTGTATGTCAAATTGACTGACTTGGTAAACAAATGATGACAGTATTCAGCATTTGTGACATTTTTATTGCAATCATAAAAAAAGGAGAAGATGAAAAGATAAAATCACCAAACTACTGCTTTAACACATACACCCTCATACAGGTTCAGACAAGTAGGTTTATAAATCCAGCATAGTTCCTGCGGCTTCTCTTTCAACCTATTAAACGTGTTCTGTCTAGTAATGATTTACGTTTCAGCTAAAAGCAAATAAGAACAGATGCATCTAACACATGTTATTATATGATCAAATGAAAGGTAAGACATTGGGTTGACCCACCACCAAAATTCAAAGGACAGGACTGCAACCAGCTTTACATCAGTTATGTTTGCAATCAAAGCTATAAAATAGGCATTATACAATCATTTTGACTTGACCAAAAACAGACATTTCTCTGTAACTGAGGATTTATCTCAAATTTATGTTCTCCAATTTTCCTATTCAGAAAAAGTTATGAAGATTTGCTTTAATGTAAAAATATGCCCATCCTCACTAACAAAGACTCTGACCAGATCAAATGACATTCTGCTGTTGGTGTCTCCATTCTAAAAGAGACAGAGAAACAGTTTCTAAGCAGCAGTGCTTGGTCTTCAGCCACTCTTGTATATTTGGTATTCTGTGGAATAAAGTAATAACAGACCTGCTGGGGCAGGTTTGACATTAAAGTGATGGCTGCTGTCAACTAGGGTGGCAGAGTTGGTAATTGTCCCCCCACCCTACAAAACAAGAAGGAGATTACAACAGTACAGTATCCTGATGCACAGACTTATGTCATTGCTTGCTGATTCAGTTCAGTCTGTCTAGATCAAAATGTTGAGACACCACTGGTGTCTGGGCTTACATGGCATACATAGTGTGTGAGCATTTTGCAGGTGTCAAACATTGCTGGTGTGTGTTGCCCTTCACACATCACTTTCTGTCTGTGTTTCCCACAGTCTCAACACAGAAGCATTCCGAGTGTAAAACAACTGCTGGCTAAAACAGCCTGGCTGCATTTTTTGAGGGAGTCTCAAAGTGCTTTCACACCTGTGGTTGGGTTAATTTGGTCCAGACCAAGGGTAAAATATTATACAATGTTGCATTTTAATTCTGTTTCGCTTTGTGTTCACACTGACTTTTTACAAATGAACCACGAGGAGTATATATAAAGTTATACAGACTGACAGTTAACTTGTTGATTGGAAAGTCATCCTGCATCATCAGAACCCACGTGGGGAAATTCCAGTAAGTGACACTTTAATGCTTTTAAAGTGTATATTATGACACAAAGACCTCATGAAGAAATGACTGATTTAGCATTATTACATGCATACGTGTTGTCATGGTAACCAAATTATTTGCATAAATATGTACATGGCTCATACAGGATTGTTGTTGTTAAGATTGTTTCCTGAACAGATTTTGATGATCTCGCCTGCTTGTTATGTCTCGCATCCAAGTGTGATTGCTGTGTTCACGTATGCTCAAGCGAACTGATCTATAGGTGGAAACGCTCCCAGCTAGGTATGTGTCTTTTGAAACTGGTGCAGAAAGTTGCCAATTCAACAGGTGCATAGGCTACCACTTCCACATTGTATAGGGAAACTGTATAGCTATATAACCCAGCTTCAAACGGAGAACAATCACTGTTGCTTACATTTTCCAGAAGGGCTTTTTAGACTCTTGTCCTTTTTAACCTTTCTGGCTTTGTTCCGAGCAGTTTGGCTGATAACTGTCTGAAGCTCTGCAGGACTCACTTGACTACCACTTGCCTCAACCTCTATAAAACCAGCTTTCCCCACAGTGTCTGGGCCTATCCCTGCTGCTTCTCCAGTCATATGCACGCTCTCATTCTGAACCAGGTAACCAGCCTCCTCAGCTACCTCACTTCTTGCAAGAAAATTTGCAGCTCCTGTCTCTGCTGAGGCTGGGTCTGTTTCCAAAACAGTGGTATTTTCCACCATTTTAATTTCTGAATAACAAGTTGGTGATACCTGACCAGATGCATAATCTATTCCCTCCATAATCTCTAGGTCAGAAGTGGCTTCTGCTTTGCCTTTTTCCAAAGTAAGTACTTCTGTGCTCTGGTAATCAGACTGAGTTGTTTCACCCTCAGCTACTTGTCCAGATTCCAATATGCTACCACTGGCCCCTTTGTCTTGACTTGACATAGAAACCTGTCCTGTGGCCACCCTGGATGATATCAGTTCCTCTGAAGATGTGACCACATCGTCCAAACCCACTATGTTAGCACCCCTCACTAACTCTTGACCAACAGTATCTTGTCCCCCATTAATATCCAGAGTTATGTCACCTATCCGAGAAGATTCTATCCCTTGCCTTACTTCATGTGTAGTAACTTCATAAGGCATTTCTTGAATTTCAGTCACCTTTGACATTGCTGCCACCTGATTCATCTCCAAACATTCAGTCTCTAAAGACTGAGAGTCCTTTTGTAACATCCTGTAAGACTTGATGCCTTCTTCCTCTATGTGAGAAATTCTGCCTGATGTGTCTTCTTTTGCTCTTTCAACATCTTGGTCATCTGGGACTCTTATATTTAGCTGTAAAGGTGACATTACTATATCTTCCTTTTCTCCATCATGTATGTTATTGGAGCACATGAGATATTCCCGTGACTGAGGACTTGTTCCTAGTGCATCTTCTCTTTCGTTTTCTTCATCTTGGTCATCTGAAATGCTACTTTTTTGCTGCTTAGACAACGCCTCTTTCTCTCCATCACTTACACTGTCATCTGAGATGAGCTTATCCTCCATGTGAGAAACTATATTGGATGCATCTTCTTTTTCACTGTCTTCATCTTCACTAGAAATGCTAGTCGTTTGCTGAACAGTTAATATCTCTTCCTCCACAATATGCTCCTCTTTCACTCCATCTCTTATGTTGTCCTGTAAAATAAGCTGATCTTCCAATGGAGGACCTCTTCCTGATGCAGCTTCTCTTTCAATCTCTGCATCTTGGTCATCTGTGATGCGAACATTTTGCTGTGAGGATAATTCCACTACCTCCACATTCTCCTCCTCGTTAACTGAGATTAAGGTCCCATCAACTTGAGGGCTTGTGTGTGATGTATCTTCTTTTGCACTCTCTTCATCTTGGCCATCTGAGAAGCCTATATCTTGCTGTACAGGTGACACCTCTTCCTCGACAATATACTCCTCTTTCGCTCCATCTCTTATGTTGTCTTCTGAAATGAGCTGATCATCCAGTAGAAGACTTCTTCCTGATGCAGCTTCTCTTTCAATCTCTTCATCTTGGTCGTCTGCGATGCTAATATTTTGCTGTGTGGATAATTCCACTACTTCTTCAATCTCCTCCTCGTTATCTGAGATTAAGGTACCATCAATTTCAGGACTGGCACATAATGTATCTTCTTTTCCACTCTCTTTGTCTTGGTCATCTGAGAAGTCTATATCTTGCTGTACAGGTGACACCTCTTCCTCCACAGTATCCTCCTTTTTTGCCCCATCTCTTATGTTGTCTTCTGAGATGAGTTGATCCTCCAGTGGAGAACTTCTACCTGATGCAGCTTCTCTTTCAATCTTTTCATCTTGCTCATCTGTGATGCGAACATTTTGCTGTACGGATAATGCCACTGCCTCTACATTCTCCTCCTCGTTATCTGAGATTAAGGTCCCATCCACTTGAGAACTCATGTGTAATGCATATTCCTTTGCACTCTCTTGCATATCCTGCTGTACCAGTGACACCATTTCCTCCACAGGAGCCTCATCCTTCTCTTCATCAGTATTGCTGTCATCTGATATGAACTTATCCTCCATTTGAGAACTTGTGCTAAATGCATCTTGTCTTTTAGAGTCTTCATCTTGGTCATCAGAGGTGCCAAAGCTCTGTGACACTCCTTCCTCCACAATTATCTCCTCTGTCTCTCTATTGCTTATACTGTCTCCATCTGATTCGACTTGATCATTGACTACTTCTGAGCCTGCTGTTATATTTTGTCGATTATCATCATCTTCTTTGTGAACAGAGTCTTTTGCTGTATGTAGATGTTGCTCTACTGTTAAAATGGTTGGCACATTAGAGCTCTCTACTTGTGCTAGTATAATTTCTTCTAACGCTGGTCTCAAATTTGGATCATCCAGATCTCTCTCGTCTTGGTTGGTTAAAACAGTGCTCACAGTCTCCAATGTTGTTTTTGCTTCAGCATCAGCAATATCTGTCTTTGCATTGGATTTGTCTATCATATCCCCTTCACTATGATTCACCTGTAATTCTGGCATTGTTTCTTGATCAGGAAATGACCTCTCTTTAGACTCATTCACAGTATCTGTTAAAAGCTCATTTGCAGAAGTTGCTGACAATTTATCACCCACAGTATTGAGTCCCACTTTAGAATCTAACAGTTGCTCCTGCTCAGCCTTAACCTCTTCATGCGCATTACTGATGAGAGTAGTCATTTCCTTTAAATTATCTGCTGTCTGGATACTATCAGAAGTGGCAATAAACTGATTTGTTTCTGAGTCTGAAGCAACTTTTTTTGCTAGACTGACAGCTTCATCGAACTCCCTTCCACTTTGATCCTCTGCGACTTCATTTGATAGAGATTCTGACCCAACCTCAGAACTTCTGTCCTCTGGACCTTCAACTGCACTGACAGGTTTCTCTTCTTCTTGCACTTCTTTGTCTTTCAATTGTGTTGCTTCCTGTATGCCAACAATTTCTCCTGTGTTGTCATGTATTTGATTGTCTACACTGCTGATGTAGTCTGAACCAGAAGGGGCTTCCTCTCCTTGAGAAAATGCTAATGTCTGTTCATTCTCTTTGTCTGTATTAACTAAATCAGTGACATCTGATCCATGTAGGAAATCTTCAGTGGACGACATTTTAGTGACCAAAGATGTAACTGCCTCGGAAAAACCTTCAGAGGGAACATGGTTTTGCTGCTGTTCTGATTGTGGAGCCTTAGCTTTTTCCTCTGCATTCTCTTGTGGCTCATCGGATTCTGTCAACTGATCTAGCACTATTTTGTCCATTGTATCTCCTGGTTTCTCTGCCACTGTGTCAGATTGCTCAAATGATCTCTGCAGTATATCTGACACTGGTAATGATTTCACAATGCCTTCCTCAAAATTTACAATTGTATATTTTTCAGATTTTTGTGTTTGATACTCTTGGATACCCTCATTGTCTTCAAATGCACTTTGGACTACCTCACTTGGATCCTCATCATTTAATGTTACATGTTGCTCTGATGTGTAGGTGATTACAACTTCTGATTGCTTTTCTTCAACTGTATCATCATGTATGTTCTGAGCTGAATCACTGACATCCATAAACCAATTTTTCATCATAACCTCCTGCTTTGGAGGCTGATGAGTTTTAGTGGTTTCAGCAGTAACGAAGGTATTGACATTGATGGTCTTGTCTTCCTTTGGTGAATCAATTCTCCATGCTTTTGGAATACCACTGGCATTCACAGTTTGTTCCAATGGAGTAATTCCTTGGAACTGGTTTACACTGACCTGCCTAATACCAACTGGACTTATTCCAGCTGGCCAAATTCCAGCCTGTCTTAGATCTGGCTTCACTGCCACCACATGTCCCATTCCCATTCGTGGCTGCCCAACACCAACTCCCAAAACAGTGACCGGCCCTAACCCCATCTGCCCAGGTTGCCCAACCCGTGGTTGCCCCAAATTTCTATTTACGGCAACAACATCCCCCTTTTTAGCAAAAGTGTGTCCTGGCAGAACAGCATACACACTCCCCTGGGCTGCTGGGCCTAACACCCCCTGAGGGGGAGCAGCCTCTTTTACCAGGATAGCACCTCTGGGCAAAGTGCCCTGAGGTGAGCCTGGATCCACCCCCTCTGCCTCTCCTGGACTACTCTTATCCGTAACTAACATATAATTACCATCAGGATTTGGCCCTATGATTTTCCAGCCATCTGCAGGGACTGAGCCCTGAGACACACCTGGGCTCACAGGTAGCAACAGGTTGGGGCTGACTGGACTGGTGGGGCTGGCAGGGCTTTTGGAGCTCTCAGTGTTCTGGATAACTAGCCCAGAAGAAGAGCCTGTGGGTCCACTTATTACGAGTCCAGAAGAAGGATTCTGGGGTCCACTGATTACGAGTCCAGAAGAAGGATTCTGGGGCCCCCTGACTACATAGAGGCCTGGAAAATTGGCTCCATGGGTCCCACCTGACAGAAGAACTGTGTTCTGTAGCTGTGGTTGAACTACATAGTGCATGGGCTGTAGTACAGGTCTGGTAGTATAGTAAACTGGCTGCTGCTGTAGTACCAATGTCTGAGTTTGATGGGGCAGAGTAGCAGACTGAATGATGTCAGAGGAATGACTGATGTTAGTAACCTTGGAGCGAGGAAGTGTCATGGACGGCAAGGCAGTGCTTACAGTGCTGATGGATGATTTTGAGATGTCAGTAGATGACATGACTTTCTCTGTCTTAACATCAGTATGTTTTGTCTCACTTCGCTCTATTTTGGGCTTAACAACCGGTTTAACAATATCAACTGTGGTTTTGACAGCACCTGCTACTTTGGGTGTTGGTGTAGGAGGGGAACAGATCTCAGCCAGAGTCTTGAACTTTGGCCCGAGTTCATTGAGGAACTGCAGGTTGTTGTCAGTCTCCAGGAGGCTGCAGCAGCCCACTGAGCCAGTAGGAGAGCCCTGGCCCTCAAAATCATACTCCAACAGACCGTCCTTTACTGGTGCTGCACACTCTGCTTTCTGTTAAAGGAAAATAAATAGCACAAATACTGGTGTCAATAAACTATGAACACTGGGCTGTTGAAAAACCAGCTGCATGAAAAGCTAACATAGTACCTGTGAGTAGTATTCATTGAGAAAAGCATCAGGTAGGGCTATATCTTCATACAAAGCTGTCCTGGTTTGCATGCCAAGTGTTTGCTTGCCGAATCTTGCGGTACCTCTACCACGTTTGAATGATTCCCTTGAAGACCTGTAGGCATTATCGACCGCCATGAAACTTTGGCTGGTTTCCTGAAACTTCTGCACGGATTCATTGTAGACTGTAGTCATCTGATGAGTTTCTGAGATATTTAAAGGAAGGGTGTTGAAGATTGGTACTGATGACATCTCAGCTTTCTTTTGGGTACCCAACATGATAGGGATGCTGTGGAGTGGCACTTCCTAAAAACAGAAGAAATCAGATGTTACCTATTAACACATTTAATGTATGATTTTAACTTGGCAATGTGGATATGTCACATGTGCTTTTTTAACCCACCACCAGCAAGCTTTCAATTTTACAGCAAGGGATGTCATACATTTTAAAAAGCACAGGCTTCATAAACAAACTACTAAGGTAATAGGTACTTAAAAGATAAGATGACTAATAAGATTTTAAAATTGGTGTGGACGGGTTGAACTCTCCATGTTTGTCCTTAGGTAGATCCAATATCTGCTCCTGGAGTAGCTCATATGATATCCCAGAGACACACCATACTGCCTTCGACGACCTTTCCCCTCTAATATCTTAGTGCACTTTATACACAGACGTTTACTTTTAACAATTAAGGAGACAAAAATGTCAGCCAACCTTATCCTCGCCTTTGCCTTCAGTGTGGTAAGATATGAGGTGTTCTTTGAAATCAAATGGCAGATCGCTAAATTGGTCAGGAAAGATTGTGTCTGCTCCTCCACACTGGCAGGAGAGCAGGAAAAGAGGGATGACTGCAGACAGAAGCAAAACAATCAGCTCAATGTACAGTTTTGTCAGTGTTTTAACAGTGACGAGAATGAATACTACCTTTAAGAATCCTCTAATGCTACATTTGTGTTGAGTCAGAGAGGTAATGACTTAATGCTATGGTTGTTTTTGAAGCTGTACTTATTAGAGGCAATTCTTAATATAATTAAGCCCAACACACCACCACTGATATTCTGTCCCCTTTAAGACTGTTAATCCGGGTGTCAGTTATTTTTCACAATAACGCTGTAATGTACACAATGGTTTCATTTTCAGTTCACTTCTTGGCCTGCTAAAAACGACCATTATACTTAAATGCATACAACTGATAATTGCTATACTGAATTAAAACCACCATGAATATTTGTTAATGAAGAGGCTTTCTTGCCTAATGCAAAGAGGTCTCTGTCATACACAGCATAGTTGGAAATGTAGTATACCTTTAGCAACTTTTGTGTAGGCCAGTAGCAACTCAACTTAGAAATTAATCAATTAAAAAACAAACCACAACAAATATTTGATTTAAACAAAGTTTGTGTTTATATCGTGTGATAATAATGTGTACCAGTGTGTTAAAACTCAACTCACACAGCATCAAGCACATTGCCATTAGCAGCAGTCCAATGGCTGGGGCAGAGAGCTCCGCTGAAGTAGTTACTAGTTTGGCTGCCCTCGAGCCGCAGTCCTCTGTTTCCACACAGGTACAAACATCCACAGTAAAAACCTCTTTGACTGGGCAGGACAGACCCTGGGCATCCAACACCTCCACCTGCAGTTTGTACAAGCCAGGCCACAGCGTCTCACGTGAGTGAAGAGCGGCACTCGTGTCTGAGGACAAAAAAGGATAGATGGCTGTTGCGCTCACACTGCATTATCATTATTGCTATTAGTTGTAACTTTAGCAGTAATGTCAGTATTACAGCAACACTACTACTAATTCTACTAATGTATGCTACCATGGCAAATCAAGTTGAACATGAAGTCCTTATATTGAATGTATATGTCATGTTTTAAAGTTAATTGAGTCAAATTTTAGTGGCACACTTTTCCAATTTTCTTTGTATATTCAAATCCAAAATCTTTAAACTCAAACTCTGATTTAAAGGTCCACCAGGGGCATCTGTTGGCAGAAACTGAATATAATATTCAGAGGTATGTTTTCATTTGTAAACAATCACCTGAAAATAAGAATCATTGTGTTTTTGTTACATTTGAATAAGCCGTTTTTAGTGGGTACTCTTCTACAGTGTCTGCCTAAATTTCTACAGTAGCCCAGAGCAGACAAACTAAACACTAGCTCTCAACACACTGGTCATTTTATGGGACTTAAGTAACTACTTCTATTTAATTTGAATTTGAAGATCTGAATTTGGAATTGGCAACACTATTAGTTGCTCATACCTTACCATAGCTTACTAACATGAGTTTTTTTCAGCACTTAATGTTTCTCAGTATAGGCAGTGATCATTTACACTGCAACAAGCTCTTGCTAAAAAGGAAATTATCATGTCACTAATGCAAGAGGAAAGAAAATAGTTTGTTTTTAAACCTAACCACTTGGCACATTTTCCTACCATTGATGGGTTCTACGTCCCAGCTGCCTCGCGTTCCATCAGGTATGATTTTGAATGTGAATGGTGCAGCATTGGGGTTAACATCCTGATCAAAGCCAGTAACATAGACAGTTTTTCCATCAGAGCACAGGCTGCTGTGAGTGCTGGTCAAGGTGGGACAGTGGTCGTTGGAGTCAGCCACTTGGATGGCTATTGTTCCTGTGGCTGTCTTTGATGGCACGTCTGAGGATGACAACAGCTTAGATAGTCAAACAGCACACAGACTGTATGGCATCACCACAAACTTTACACAAAATGATATGACTCGAACATAAGTCTTGAACGTTGCCTAAACTAACTGCTCTTTATGCGTTTGAAGCAAATATATATGACGTTTCTTTTCTGAGAACATTGCTGTACACATCTAATAATCCTCAATTTAAATAGTGTTTTGGTAAAAACGTGAAAGTGTTTTCTTCTCATAGTTTATCTGGAGGTCTGTGAAAACCAGCATGGATGTACATTATTTGACGCCTGGACTCGTTATTTGGCTGACACACCTTGAGTCACAAAGTGGTTTTGCCGGTTCTGTCAGAGATCGGTGTGCTTCAAGTAATAAATCACCTCTGGCAACAATGAACTTAATGAACTGCTCACCCAGCTAATAAACATACAGGTCATAGATCATGCTCAGAGAAGAAAAACGTTAATTAAGTAGAGCATCTTTTAGCAGCAAAGGCGATGGCTGTTCAAATAGAACTTTATCAAGAGGGAAGAAATTAAGCCCTATTGTTGAGAATGGGTTTACTGGGTTGAAGAGGTGGGTGTGGTTTACAATCAGCTGCAGGGGAGAGACGTCTGGGCAAGGCTTGTGAGAGCAGCGCCAGGTGAGTTGATTATCTCAGCTGCTACTCATTGAGTAATCACACTTACCTTTCTTAAGACAGTAATGTGCTGGACCTGGGAGGCCCGACACACATGACATAGAAGACACAACCGGAGCAGACCGTCCCGGACTTTTGAAGCAGGCTACGTTTTGTAATAATAGTGTGCACGGCTGACAAAGGAATAAAGTTGTCTTATTTATTGACATCTGTTGTTGGATTGTGTGCTGAGTGAACCCTTGGTAGCAGCGAGACTTGCTACGCGGATTATATGGTACACCATTATAAAGTAACAATTATTTAGTCAAATTATACAGATTAGAAAGTACAAAAGGTATTACCTTTGGTTATGGCCATAATCTTGGCAATGTAGGTGCCGTTCACCAAGAATGTTGACTCTCTGTCTGGTTTCTTGTTGAGTTTAATCTCAGCTGTATCTTCATCGATGGTAAACCAGTTATCTGGATCATAGGCTTTTGCATAACTGGACAACAATAGATATGTAAGAAAAGGAGCAAAAACATTAAAAGTAATAAGTGACAGGATACTATTTAACCAAAAGTAGTGATTTGGTTAAAGTAATAGTTCAACATCTGGAGAGAGAAACACTTCCACGGTGAGAATATTGTTAGTTAATTAATGCCTGTGTAAGTATATAGCTGAAGTTTGTCATTCTTGTGTGGCCAGCAGTGGTGAGATACTGCGCTCAGTTTCGACTCCCCATATAACAGGAAACAATTGGTGGCCTGCCTCACACGTTCTCGTACATAGTACACTAAAATGTGTTTTTGGGTGAGATATGATCAATGTAGTTGATCAGCACTGTCTAGATTGACAGTTTGATCTGAGTTTGGTGTGTGGAGCTGGACGGGCTCACTAAGAATAACTTATCAATCACAAAACAGCCACGCCATAAAGCATACCCTGCTTCATGGTCTATTTTACTCTAAATGGACCATTTACTAAATGAACATCATGCT